CCATATCTATCTATATCAATTATACTAAATTAAATAGCGATTCTTTTTTATGCAATTTGGAATCGCTGTTTAATGATTCCGACATTAATTTTTGACCCTATATGATTTATAATAAACTGAATTAAATGCTATACGACAGCCAAGCTCTGCCAATAGATTATATGTATTATAGAGATTATAAAACAATCATTCACGAGTTTATACCGAATTAATTGGAAAATTATTGTGGAATTAGATGAAAATATTTATGCCCGTATAATAAATTAATTTATTGCTTACCCACTTACAACTATATTAAATATTTAAAAAAATTGTATATGAATTTCTATATGGAAGCTACGTGAAAAACTTTAAATTGAATTCGTGCAACGAATATAAATATGGTCTAGTAATAATAGTAGGTGCAGAAATCGAAAGAGAAAGCAAACAATACCTAATAAAATTATAAATTATAGTTATTGCACCTATTTTTGGTTTAACGGCTTTGTTTTCCTGCTTTTCATTTATAATTTATAAGAGCCTATAGTAAAAATGTTTCTGTTTGTGTTGTAAAAGTTTGTTTAATCAGTTAGTTACGTGTAAACAAAATTAGTCATTTTAAATTCAAAATAAGCGTGGTGGTGAAAGAAAATAGCAGCATTTTGATCGGGTTGCTTAAGAATCGTTTCGAAATCGTTTCCATTCTAATATCTTCCCATATTCATGTCGTAAGAGAGACTGAAAAATATATCACCCAACATATGTCACATATCCTAATAGTATAGACATATGGCTATTAAAAAAATAAAAGAAATGCAAACAGAACCTATATATCGCGGCGCCTAACGGACCCAAATGAGAAAGATGACGTTTGAGATGAGTGTTTATTCCGGTTCTATAATTATTCTGATAAATTATATGGTATTTTTCAAATAAAAAGAAGAAACTTATAAAGGAATATTATATTAATGTGTATTCTTGTAAGATTCTTGTGCAGAGATCAGTCCATTATTTTAGAAAAATGAGATTTCAGTCTTCATTGAGAAATCAATCTTCTTTCGTTATCAACATTTTTAACAACGTTTGTTTTTTAATTTATTAAAGTTTATTTTTTTATCTTTTTACTTATTTGCACAGCTAGAAACAATATATGATGTAGACAAGTATGTGGGCTTGTCGCTAACGGGTGGTATGACGTCACAACGTGATTTCGGTACGTTTTCCCGAGCGCCGTTTTAATTAAGTATTCTGCAGAAGAAACTATTGAAAACAAATTCTGACTTTTAGCACATTAACTAATTATACTTTCGGAAAATGAATTTTAAGAATATGCTAAATGAACCCATTTGACAACGCAAAAAGCAAAACGCGAAAAGGTTTATTTGCAACCCACATTTACAGAGTGATTTACAGAAATGGAAAAGTTGTGTTGCTTACGGGAAAATATCGAGAAAGGGAAGTTTTATGGAATGTTAACTAAATACAGAAATAAAACAAAAAGTAATGGCTCGTGGAAAACTTCGTAAGAGCATTAGGTGCTGGCGATGTTAACATAAAGATTTTGCAAATAGTCTACTGGATAATCAAGTGTCTTAAAAATATTGTGCTGTACATAACGTTGAATAAACTAATTATATTAATATTATTAATAAATGCAAAGTTCGACGTACTCGCTCAAATTTAATTAAAAATAATTTATTAGTGTATTATAGAGAAATATACCAATTGATTCTAGGAATTTAGTGATATATTAAATTATTCCAAAAATCTAGCTTATTAACATTATGCCATTAATGTTATTAAGGTTAAATTTAATATAATTTTTTAATCCATCAATTTGTCACTTCAATCAAGTTAAGCCACGAAAATAGCTTTTCCAGCAACAGTTTTTCCACCCACATCTCAATAGTTTCATGACAGAATGTGAGACTCCTAACTGTTATCAAATTAGGTTTGGTTTTCAATTTGTTTATTTAACAATGAAAACTATATACTACGTATTTTTGCAAAGTCTGACAAGATTTAGAAAAGCATGTAAATTTGTAATTAGACCCTTGTAATTAACAAGAAAAAAAAAACAAATGCATCTTCAGTAACTTATTCTTTTTACAAAGGAATTTGCTTCCTAAAGAGGTATTTATTTTTTCCCCTTAAAAACAGAACTAGTTTTTACTATACTAGTTTTCGTGTAACTAGCGTGAAAAGATTGATAACATTGCGAAAAAAATATTGATGATGTAAGCAGAGCCCTAGGCCAAAATAGACCTTGTTTCTCTTACAAAAGTATTGCCATCGAAAAATCTTGATTTGAGTTTGCTTAAAAGCAGCTACTACAAAGAGATCTTCTTCTTTCCATGTGTTAGTCTCTGTCAAAGGTAATGAGAGAAGAGAGAACAACAATAGGCCTCTTGCACCTGCCGGATTTTTTATTTTAGTTCACATATTTAAATATGGCCTTATTTAAAATTATTAATTATAAAATCTTTTGTGAAAAATTCTACTCGAAAATTGACTAAATCGTACATTGAAATTTGCAATTGCTTCGACGTCATCGGTAAGTAAACTGGCCGCTCCACATTAGAAAATGATGTCGGTCCTGACTTCTTAAAAATATTTATTATTTTTAGTTTACATACGATACGATAACTATACTGATGTGCTATTATATTTACTAACTGGTTTCCATTATGTTATGTAGGTATACCTAAATATGCACCTATGTAGCAAAATAATAAAGTCTGTGTAGGTATAATATTTAATTTTTACGACGTTTAATTCAAGTGAGCTTTCCGCGCGTGGCATAATATTATTTACTACCTAAATAATATTTTGAATCTAAATTTGTTATTTTAAATAATAATTAGTTTTTAGTTTTTAAAAAATTCCCAAGAATATTTGTAACATGACCGAACAAGGTTATGTTAAAGCCTAATCAGACAATTTACCGAATTCCATGATGATTGCAGAGTTTTTTTCGAAAAGCATTTTATTTTGAAATGATTTATAGGTATCTACATAAATTTATTTTAAAATACATTTTTTCTGACGTTTTTACTGATGTATTTTCACACATCGGTACAATGCATCAGTAATATGATGGTTTAGAAGGATTTGCCATATTTTTTATAAGTTTAACTTAAAATATTTACAGTATATAACGAGCGTTCAAATAAAAACGTGGTCGAAGTTGGCTCTGACACATTGGAGGTAGGGAGTAGCTTATAGCGACCAACTTAACCTCATTTCTCAACGAGCTGTATAGCAGTTGTCAGTTTCAATAACGTTAATGACTATATAACTTTATTTTAAAGAATAATCGTGATAACAATAACAAACAATTAAAGGAGCTGCGGAAAGTGTCCCCCTCCTTGTTATAACAATAAATTAAAGCAGCTGCTGAAAGTGTCCCCCTCCTTGTTCCAAGCACTTTTCACACCTGTTCCTCAAAGAATTAAAGACATTTTCTAAGATGCTCGGGGTATTGTTAATTTCACGAATCTTGTCTATAAGTCGAGCCTGCAGATGGTTTAAATCAGGAATAGGCAGTTCAAAAATAGTGTTTTTAAGGTAAGGCCACAAAAAGAAATCACACGGCGTAATATCACATGACCTCGGTGGAAATTCATGTTCAGCATTGAGACTTATTAGTCGATTTTGGAAAACTTCCCTCAACATATTCATCGTCTCGCCTGCCGTATGTGCCCTTGCGCCATCTTGTTGAAAGTAAAAGTTTGTAATTTCGTTTTCTTCCAGCTGGTTAACAAAAGGAGCGATAATTTCTTCTCTATACCTTTGCGCAGTAAGAGTACCATTAAAAAAAATAGGTCCATAAATCCTCCTTCGATTGAGAGCACACCAAACTCCAATTTTTTGAGCGTGTAGAGGGCCCTCGACAAAAAAGTTATCTGGTTTTTCAGAAGACCACATTCTCATATTCTGTGAGTTTACGTAACCACTTAAATGAAACCAGGCTTCATCAGAAAAAAAGGTGATATTATGAAGTTCACCGTAGTTGTTTAAAAACCATTCACAAAATACAGCCCGTCGCGGAAAATCAACTTCATGAAGTTCTTGCTGACAAGTTAAACGATAGGAGAACAAACGCAAATCTTTTTTTAACACTGTGTGGCAGGTACCGACTGATACTCCCACCATTTGTGATAAAACACGTACAGAAGTTCTTGGCGCATTTTCCATTATTTGTTGGACATTTTCTTTTAATTCTTCAGTCCGCTTTTTAGGTCGGCCGCTTCCTTCTTTTCTTGTTACACTGCCCGTTTCACGAAAAACATTAACACAACGCTGAACTGCACTTTGAAAAATTTTGTACTCAACAACGCCGGGAAATTGATTTTGAAATTCTATGAAACATTCCTCAATAGAATACTTCCATATTCCATCAATCTTGCGTCCATTTCTAAAGTAGGACTCTATGATAAACACTTTTTGTTCTTGAGAAAACACCATTTTAAACGCTTTTTAAAACGAAAATATTCAAATTGATAGCGGCGATATAGCGCTTTGACAGATGACGTTTAAGTTCATTTGCTATTCGCTACGCCCTACGTCCAAATTTTTAGAACCAACTTGACCACGTTCTTGACCACGTTTTTATTTGAACGCTCGTTATAAGGTATCGTACTGCTTATTGACACCACTCCACACATTTAATAACCAAAGCAGTCAGCTGCACTGTCGAAACGCGTATATGTCGCGCTTGCCATTTACTTACCGATGACGTCAACCGATTAAAACTTTAATATCTAATAATGTTTTAAAAATAAATTGATATAACAAAATCTTTACACACTGTTTGTAGTATTCAGTGTAGATACGAAAACTATTAAAATATTTTTTTCTGCAAGAAGCCTATTATGCAAAATGGTTTCAATGATCACATTATTGATCAATCTCAATACGGTAACGTGTTTTTATATTAATTATATTTAAACGTATCGTTTTGAGTTTTATTTTGAATAATTTATTACTAGTTAGTTTTTTAAAAAGACCTAGAATCCTACCTTGTATTAGACGAGTTGGGATCGATGGCTTGCACGACGATGAAGGTGTGCAAGAAATGGGACGCTATCATGTCGGGCGAAAACGGCGTGTTTTCCTCCTGGAAAACGATCGCCACGATGTCGTTCCCGATGTGCCTCTTCCTCTGCAACTGCTGCGGGTCGTTCTCCGTGTACGGCAGGAGTGTGGACACGTGGAACATGATCTCCCTCTCCTTGAAGACATCATAGACCGCCGTGTCTCCCGTGTGACCGTTTTGGATGTCCAAACCACCCCTGCAATAAAAAATAAATTAAATGAACAAAACTTAAATACCTATGTATTAATTTTGGTACTGATACGATTAACGATTTTTTTTTATCTTAAATGAATTCATTTTCAAGAATGCAAGATGTAAGAAAATTATCTCTTGTGTGGTTATCTATGGTTCTATATTCTACCTTAAAAAAAAAAGAAAATCAAATTTCCTGGCATCGAATTATTACAAAATACAACCAACATCACTCTGTTGTAGATAATTAGGTACTCGATGATGGGTTAAGCTGATATTAGAATCGATGGTGTAAAATAAAAATATTTCTTTGAAATTAAATGATTTTGATAGCGGCCCAGGGTCAAACAGATCACCACAAAAGAAAATTTAAATACAATTAAGATACTGGTATTACTCTATATTGGTATAACAGTAGTGATAGTGTTGACTCCAATAGCTTTCTTGAGATATTGTTACGTTTGTTACCGCTACTTGTTGTGGAAAATGAAAGCCCGCATCATGAATAACAATTGGAGGATGGCACCTTAAAGGTATTAAGAGCAATTTAAAGATTCATCTTCCATAAACTTTCATCTAGAGAACTCCATCTTCCTAGACCTAGAGAATCGATTACATTCGAAATCGGTATACAATGACAAATGAAGCTTAGTTTAAGGATGGTCCAAAACAGACAGGGTAACCAGGGATAAAATAACTAGACCAAGGCTCAAGTGATAAAGAAGCTTTGGAGCTTCCATACAGTTCGAGGCATATCCACAACGTAAGAGAATCTTTTAAAAGTCGAAAAGGTACATCAAAGACTATTTTTCGACGTAGTCAGTCGCCTTCAACCTCAATGTACTTTGTAAGTCGAGGGATCAGCTTCCTGATACCTTTGTCAAAAAAATATCCCGCCGCTTCTCAGGCCCATTGTTTTACGGCATTGTGGACCTCATCGTCGCGTCGGTAGAAAACCTTTTTCCACCCACCTTAAGGGAAAAGATGAAAATCAGAAGGTGCCATGTCAGGGCTGTGGGCGGGGTGGTTGATGATGTTCCAACCAAATGAATCCAAGAGTTGCTTTGTGGCTTTGACTGCGTGCATTGTCTTGCAACAAGCACACTTCCTCCGTTAACATTCCCCTTCTTTTGTTCTGTTTCACCCTCTGTAGTGTTCTCACAGTATCTCACAGCATTAATAGTTTTCCCCCTGGAGCAAAAAGTCAAGAGGGGAATGCCTTTACGGTCCCAAAACATAGTTGATATGATGTTTCGAGCCGAAACGGTTTTGAATTTTTTCGCTGATGGTGAAGACGGATGTCGCCACTGCATTGATTGTCTTTTCGTTTCAGAGGTGTAGTTTCATCGCCGGTCACAATACAGTCAAGTAATTCCAGTTCGAAGCGCTGGATTGGAACGGCACCGTTCCCTTTGCAATAAGAAACTGGATCACGTTATTCACCTCACGTAGTTGGCGGGATTCGGAATAGCTGTATTCATTTCAATACGCCACTACAACAACAGNTGCAATAAGAAACTGGATCATGTTCTTTACCTGAAGTAGTTGGCGGGATTCGGAATAGCTGCATTCATTTCAATATGCCATTACAACAGTTCTCAACTGACTGAGACAAGTGAGCGCGCTTTCTGCACCCAACATCTTTGTCGAAAACAAACACCACCGAGTATCAGAGTTTCAGTACTCTTACTTCGTGGATATGCCTTGTACCTTTAAAACTTATTCGAGACTGTTTATAATTGCTAAATGAACTGGCAAACACTAGCACAAAGTGCATGGTTAGGGTTCCATGATATAAAGACACTAAAGGAAACAAAAAGGCAGATAATGTTGCAACAAAGGATCTGCAACGGATTCCTAGGAGCAGAGCCAGCTTTTGGCATTCCTTCAATGTTAAAGAAATTGCAAGACACGGAAGAAGTTGCGTTGCAAGAGTTTGGCATGAATGAGATTCTGGCTGCTTAAGAAACCTTTCTCTATGATAGAACTAACTAAAATCCACAGACTTTTGCACTTTGTAAGATTAAACTATCAAACGAATAAGACAGAATTGGCTACAGTGTTTCGGGACTCTTTGGAGATACGTTAAATAGATTCAGAAGAGGACTTACCTGTAACCTTTGTGATCCTTGAGTTGTATCCTTTGTCCGAGCAGCGAGAGGAAGTCGTCGAAAGCGGGGCTGGTGTCGCTATTGGAGAAGAGGTCCTCCTCGGTAGTTTGTCCGTACCGTTGGTAGAGGACGCCGAACTTGAAGTTCGTGACGAGTACGTGCTCGTCGTAGTTGGCTATCAACTGGGAGGCTTTGGGATGCAGAACAGGTACAAAGTTTTCAATGTTGAGCTGCTCGTTGAGCAGCTTGGCCATCTTGGCCGGGTTGGGGCTGGAACCTAAGCACGAGGACGGGACTATCTCGTGCATGGTTCCGGTGCGGAGCCGCAGGAGGATACGGGTGTGCTCCTGGTTGGCCACGTTCTCCGTCTTGATGGAGAGGAGCACGGGGCCCAGGTTGTCGTCGTTGCCTATGAGGGACGAGTGTTCCTGCAACAAAGAATTAATAATTTCAATACAATGTAACTACAACAAATCAAATAATGTTAAAATCGATAATCATGTTTTAAATATGGTGTAGATCAACTACACTAATACGCACTCTGTAAATATTGTCATGAAAAGAGACTTCAGTTAAAATGTATTTTTTAATTTAATTAAGATTAAATATAAGATCAGTCACTTTGTATCTATTCGAAATTACTTTGTTTCTTTGTAATTTAGATATATAATATTCCTAGAACACTGTATAAAAAAGATAAATGAAGTATCATTTATAGTAAAACGTTATAAATAGTGATTTCCTGTGTACATGACATTATTGATGAGTTGCTGTTTGTTGCTGTATAGATTAATTTTAGGACTTATGTATTCCCTCCGTGGAGCGATTCAAGTTTGATTATATACATAGTTTTCGTAGAGTGCATATTGCTCGAGATATCTGAAAGTTTCAGATTAAAAAAATCACCCGGTATATACATTATTAGTCTTGTTTCAAGACTTTTATTTTTTTGCAACATCCTTGCCATCCTGTGGTCAACATATTTCAATAAAAATGTAAAACAAGTTCTTGGCTCAGATATATTTCTTCAGCTTCGAGTAGCAAATAATTGCTTCTTATCTTAGTTGTACCGTAATGGTGTGTAGGCGCACATTAACAATTCAAAACAGGTTAGAATGTCATTTCAGAGTAGGAAATTCTTAAAAAATGGCTTAGTTCTGCTTTTGTAAAAATCCACTTACAATTAGATATTATGTCTTAAAACTAATCTACTTAAAAGTATAAATTAAAAAATTATAAGATATGAAACTTTGTATTATATTAGAGAATGAAGAATTTTAAGAAAATTTAAAAGGTAGTATTTTTTACCTTTCACACAAAGTACTTGTTATATTTAAACTGCTGAAAAAGTCTAGGTACACTGTAAGAAAAATTGGACCTATTTTTACTCAATTTTACTCAATAATTTCTGTCCACACCTGATTGAGTGAAATTTTCACTTTATTAATATGAGTACAACTAAAATTTTATGAGTGAATTTATCAGTTTTAATTCAAATATTATCAATATTATGTAAAATTATCAAAATGCCCAATATTAACTGAAAATGTACTCAATAATTTCATTTTTTGCTTTCACTCAGACCGATTTATTTATAGTGTACTAAAACTAAATAGTGATGAAAAAATTTTCATGGTATTATGAAAAATATATGATTCCTACAGCAACTATCTAATCAACTTTCATCCATAAGTGTGATGTTTATCAAATGCATTAATGAGCCTAGTAAAATCAAGGAAAGTTAAAGTCTCCAGTAAATATTTAAATATTGTGAATACATTCATCTAATTATATATCAAAGAAACTGAAAGTTGTATCCGCCGTTTTTTTTTCAAAATTTCACTTTTACTTTCATCGACAAACAACGCAATATAGGTATGATTATTAGTACACCATGCAGGGATGGGCTATTTTTTAAATATGTATTACATTTAAGAAGGTTGATAGTTATTTACCTACGCAATGAGCGTCATACTCGATTGATATCCCATAAGTGAAATAAAGTATTTTTTACATAATTTACAATCTCAAAGCAAATACATGATAATAGTCCAGTCGCCAGAGGCCGAAAAGTTACTGATGGTGACATTTCCTTGATAACTCGGAAATAACTACACAGGAATACTTTAAATGATGAGTACAATAACCAAAGTATTTTATCAGGAAAAAAGTTATTAACAATTTAATCGTGAAAAAATTTTTTTAGTAGTTTTCTTTAAATAACTCAGTGGGATGACTTAGTACGAAAAAATACTTAGGACAAGATTTTATTCGTAATAAAAATAGCTACAAAATGGCGGTGGTCCGATTACGAAATTTGCAATAACAAAACCGTGAGATTGAAAAAACGGTATAAAACGCCAATTTTTTTAAGTTGCTGTAAAAATGTCAATTATAAACAAAAAGTGATAAAACTTTCGAAAACTATAGTTCAATATATATACAATAATGATGCTAAAGCTGAAAATCAGGAGAGCAAAACTTTTTGTTCTATAAGGTGTTATACATTCATCNTGACGCTAAAGCCGAAAATCAGGAGAGCAAAACTTTTTGTTCTATAAGGTTTTATACATCCATCGGCATCTGAAACTCGAAACTTTGCCAAATTTGTTGGAAGTTTTGCTGACACTTGTGGAAACTCACATAGGCTTTTTACATATTTGTAGTGGTTTTTATACAAAAAAAAAGTAAATGAATTGGACGTACACATTGTCACATTGTGTAGAATTTCACGTTGGTGTATAAATATTTTTTTGTGTTGTATTTCTACTTTGTACATTGTATTTTTATATTTTACAATATATTATTCCTAATACTTTATTTGATGTTAGTTAATATATGAATAAAAGTGTGAATTTACAAGACCAGATTTGGCTCAACCAATCATGTAGTCACCCGATGTGTAGAGAACTGTGCTAGTTGTTCAGTAGGCATGTTTAGATTCATTTGTGGTGAAATAATATAGCATAATATTTTAAGTACCTAAATATAATGTGATAAATAAATATTGAGGTAAGTAAATAATATGACTTGATGTAAATTATATAAATCTTTTGGTATATCTTCATTTTAAGTTATTGAAAAGTATGAGAAACATCATCATCATCATAACCACACTGAGTTTCTCCTATCCTTTACACACAGACATCCAGATTGTAGATTACTATTTAACACATACTGTTTTACTTACACTATATTTTGTTTTCGGTTTAATCTTTTCAAGAAGTGGCCATTGATCTCAACATGATTCAAAGATTTCAAAATGCATTTGACGAGAACTATGCATTTGGCGAGAAAAAACTATGGCACAATTTTCATTCAGAAAAAGTCTTCATATAGATGAAAATCGCAGTAAAACCTTTCCCAGAAAATACATGAAGAATGTTTTTATGAAAACGTATTTGATGATCATTTTTAAATTCGAACACATTTAATTAGAAAATTAGCAGGGTACAATCTTATGTCGCAGATACACAAAACAGCAGCGGCGCCATTGGTCAGGCTGCGCATAAACCATTTTCCTAGGCACACAATCAAGTGAACGCGCTCAGGTAGTATTTTTAACGTTAACAATGGGTACGGCCCGAGCGGCACAATGTGGCACTCGATTTTTCCAGACTTTCTCGCCCACGCCCCAGTCCCTCATTTTAAAGTCGTTATTATATTCCGTCTTCTATTGTTTAGCATAACGCTGAGCGGCAAAGGAGGTCACCACGGCGTACACGTACGCGATATTGAGGCACCCGACACTTCAGCTCCGCTACACCTCCTCCTACCTGACACTTCGAAATTATGCCGACGTAACACGTGTGGCGATTTACTAAAATCGTAGAGGATAATGGATGCGCTGATTTTAAGAGTCCCCCTTCCAAGACTAAGCCAAATCTGACAAACATAAGCACTAATGCGTAAAGTAAATATTTTGCACATTATTGCCAATAGTAAATGTTTACACATAATATGACACAGTGGAAAATGTCGTATTCCAAGTTCTGAGTAAATTTCAAATTTTCGCTCAACTTTCCAATTGAAACCGCGAACCATGTCCAATCAACTCTACCACAGCCGCAGCCCGATGCTATCAGCAGAGCAACCGCTGAGGATGCGGTGCGAAAATAGAAAATTCCTCCAGTTTCGAATTTCGGAAAATAAACGGAACTGGGGAATCACAATACAGAACCGCTGTACCACGTTAGACTCCAAGTCCATCACGCGTACTAGGCGATTACAGTTCTCCAATCCTATGGTGGACTTCACTATAGAACTTTTGCGGACCCATCAAAGAATGGGATCTAACGTCGACCCTACTACCTTGCAGTTCAGTAACTAGGGACGGATAAACAAAATATACACTCGAACGTGTAATCCTATACAATGTATCACGTATCTTCAATTCATTTATACAGTGTGTCTACTTAAGTTGGAACCATATGGAAAACTTTTTTATTATTGGTTTGATGAAAAAAATTTATTCTTCATAAAAAGTTCTGCATAGTCTAAAATCTAAAATGCAACCTTCAGTTATCAAAATTTCCCAGTCATATACGAGGTATATCAGAAATTATGAATTTTGCTCAAGAGTAAAGTACCTTTATTTTTGACAATACAGAAGATTGTTATAAAGAAAAGTTATTTTGAATTAAAAGTTATTTTCAAATATGCAATTACAGACATTTAGCATGAAGATTAAGATTTTGTGATTATTTACGTTTTACATTATAAATTATTTGTATTTATCTCTCTTATCTGTTAAAAATATGATAACATTTCCATTTATTAATGTTTATGAACAACCTTACAATTTAAATACGTAATGAATGCATAATAATTATTTATTTTAGAAATAGCAAAATCCATACAAAGAATATTTAGAAACAAACATCATACGTATTTATACAGAAACTAACATAATTAAATTTTAATTCATTCTACTAAAGCCTCGACATATCGACCTTCTCTTTGCAAACATTTAATTGTTCTTTTGCTAAACTCCTGTAATACTTTCCGTATCATATTTGGAGTAATTTTTTGGCATTTTTCAGAAATAATCCTCTCCAAATGGTTTACATTATCAAATGGTCCTTGCTGATAAACCTGCTGTTTTAAGTAACCCCATAAAAAAAAGTAAAGGGGAGTTAAATCAGGGGACCTGGGAGGCCAAGAAATCTCTGAATACCTATGAATCATCTTTCCATTAAAAATATTTTCAAGGAGTACTCTAACGTTTACTGTACTATGGATGGAGGCACCGTCTTGTTGGAACCAAATTTTAATACGTTTTTGTAACGGAAGTTCGTGCATAAATTCACTGACTTGATTTTCTAATAATTGTAAGTAATGTGCGGCATTCAAGGAATGTCGAAAAAAAAATTGGTCCAATTAATTTATTTTTGTACATACCACACCATACGTTCGTTTTAAACGAATA